TAGCTTGAAGCTTCAATATTCAAGATTTTGAAGGCTGTAAAAGGCACGTCTTATTGATATTTGAAGGGCACTGTTTGAATGAGAAAAAATAATGCACGAAAAAACGTTTCGGCGAACACTTTTGACTGCAACTTTGCATGTTTGGGAGGATAGTACGGGCTGCATAATGGCTGAAAAAATCCCAATTTGACTGGTAATACCACTCTAATAGAAAACTAGGAATGCGAAGTGGACTGCTAGCGGAAAAAAAGAAAGAAAATGTCACAATCCGCCAAAATAAAAAAGTCGTGAAACAAACACGAAGAGGAACAAATTGAAAAAATGCAGCGACGGTGGGACAAAGCCTGGGCCATACGTCGCCTACGCCAACGAAGCCTTCCATCCCTCGGGGTCAGCTGATTAGTAGCAGGCTTTTTGGAAAACAAAAAACACTGAAATGTTTATTGGATGGCTGTACAAGTCGGTCTGCAAGTGTATAGCCCAGTTCCCATTCAATTACCCTATACGATTCTGAATCTAAGTAGGATGTGCGGCGCATCCTTAAGGGCGATAGATCAATGACGATTGGTTTATGCTTTATGCTTTTACACTGAATTGAGAAAGACAATCAAAATGTTGGAAAGATAATTCCCACCTCTCAATGAGGTTCCAAAAGTTTCGAATCTCAAGAAGTGATAACAAATCAATTTTCCAATCACTTTTTGAAAAGCTACTGTTTTGCGCATCAGGAATTCCAATTGGCAACAACAGAAGCCGTTTTGCTCTACGGAAAAATAGAGAATTAAATACTTCACAGCAATTTAATCAGTCATCTAATCAATCATATCAGCTGTTCCACATCAAATTACAGCGAAGTTCGTAACCGGAACTGGCCACAGATACAAACTGGTCATCGATCGAACATCGAACTGCTTGCTTTCCTCATTCCTTTTTTGTTCCTTTCTCTTTCTCTGGTTGAAGGGGGACAAATATTCGTCGACAGATCAACGAATTTCTTCCTAAGTGATTGCAATCTTACAGATTTCATCGCCACCGATCACTTAGAAAGAACTTCACTGATCTGTCGACCGATTGCTCAGAAAAACAGCGACTTTCACAAGAATGCTGGGTTGTGAACAAAACTTTCGCCCCAGACGGGACTCGAACCCGCACCTCTTGCTTACCGGGCAAGTGCGCTACAGTTACGCTACCGGGGCACCATTTCATCCCAACAAACAAAAACAGCGACTGGTAGCTAAGGTTCACTTTATCATAAAGTGAGCGCAGTATTTTTCTCAGCGCTCAAAAAATATACTTTCCCATATTTTGCTCACAACTGTACCAACAGTCAAGTATAGGATGCCTGAAATTTCTAGTATTTTTGAAAGGAGCTTCAGCTGTTAAGGTTGTGCGCTCAGTCTCTCCTTTATTATTATATATTTTTTATACTGACCATACTTTTCATATCTCTTACGCTAATAATGCTTGTTTTCTGGAATCCGAATTACGTGAAAAGCTCAAAAAATGACAAGAAAAAATGCGCCATGGAAAATGCTAAACAATTCAAGCAAAGCAGCGCTCCCCTCCTGGTCTCGCCGGGCGTCACCATGTGCTCTCACGAGTTCAGTTTCAAAATTAATTAGCGAATAAACAATAGAAAAATAAATTTATAATAAATACTGAAATATGTGGAGATGGTAAACTTACAGCGTTGATAAGTGTTGGTGAGATTTTGACGAGATCAAAATCGGGCAGTACAATTGGAGTCATCGTGACTACGGGATACGGACTGTCCTCCTGCCCATCTCATCCGCACTTCTTGATTGTTGTAGTTGAAGCTGAAATTAGAGAATTTTTAGCTATTATTATTTATTCTACTTATTTTTATTATTGTTATTTATTTATTTTTAAAAGTCTTTTCGGCTCACCTTTCATAAATAAGAAAGCATTCTTGTATGTCCAATGGAAACAACTCGAGCGACATAGCACACGGGCCTTTCACTTTTACACGCTGAAAGGAGGGCGACAATGATAAATTGATTATGATAGTGACGTCATCAGAAGAAGGGATTCGGGAGGGTTCAACTCACATAATTAACCCATACTGTGCCATTTGGATAGAGCATAAGAAAGACATTTCTGAAATAAACGATACTTTTCCGGCAATAGTCGTGGGGAAGTGATGTGAAGATCGATCTTCCGGTTCCGAAGCCAAAATATTTTTTCGGAATATGTTTTGGGTTGGAATATGATTTGGGAGTGGGGAACTAGAAGAGGTTCAACCATAAAGGTGGGAAAAATTTGGGTTGATCATAACCCTAAATCCTTGGAGAAATTCCCGATACCTTTCACCCTTCCATTTCTTCCCTAGTCTCAGTGGTTGTTTCTCAGATAATACCTTTCAATTCCATAGATTTTCTTAGTTGCCCCCCCCCATTACATCCTTCCAAAAATTTCTTCCATCAAATCACGTTTAGAAAAAATAATAATACCTCTTGTCATGCATGTGTAAGGAAGGAGACGGTCCCCCCCTTGTCCTCGGGAATCTGCCCTCTTCCTTTGTCGAGTTACTACGCTGCGCCTCGTTAGTATTCACAATAATAGTTGTCCTCAGAAAACGAGTCACGTATTCCAAAGTGACTTCTATCCCGGATTATGGAAATTCCATCAAACGCGTCAATGACATTTTTAGCGTAGAATTTGCGTAGTACAGTAGTCAGCAGCATAAGAATAGCGCTACAGTTTCCTTGGATGCGCAGAATATCGCATAAAGAACTCTTGTAAGCACATTCACGATGAGCTGACCGAAAAATCCTTTTATTGATGGGAGATGAATTGGCCCACCGAACTAAATCCTTCTTTTGATGGAAGATGAATTAGCCTAGCAAACTAGAGTGCCCAGTTCACAGATCAAGGGCGCTAAGGCCATCAATATGTTCCCTTAGTGATCGCATCCTTCACCTCTCACCTCTGCACTGAATGAGGTTGCGAGAAGAAACACAGCGTGAGGGGAGGCTAGACAGCGCGTGGATGAGGGATCATTAGGACAAGCGAGACGCAGAGACTCGTGATATCACCCCTATGATCGACAGACACCACAATGAAAATCATAATCTGACCTTATAAGTACATCACCCATAAGTAACTCCGTGTAACAAGTCCAATTCGAATGCTACTACGATTCCATACAAATAGGATGCATCGATCAATCTCATTTGGTTCATCCCTTCTCGATATAGCAAGCATAATTCGAAAAAAAGTTGAGTTAGGGCGAAACAGGTGCTCCAGTAGTGCCAACTAAGCACACTTGCTCGGCAAGCGTGGGTTCGATTCCCGCCTGGGGCGAAAATTTTGTCATAACCCAACATTCTTGTGAGGCAATTGAAAAAAGTTACGTTGGCGATGAAGTTGAGAACCTGCTAAGAAATAGCTCTACCATC